TATAGAATGAATAGGCAATCTTTTACTGAAGTCGAATGCTTCAGGATTTATTTTCCAAAGCCGAGAACACATCTCAGTGCATATAACAGGAAAAAAAAAATCTATACCCATCTTGCCAGTCTTAAATGAAACAGACCAAGGCAATATTGCAGAAAAGTATTAGTATTATAAAAAACAGCTACAGCTCATTTGTCTCTCCACAAAAGAGCAAGCCTACTTCAGTACTATGACATGTTATGAAATGTGAAGTGTTCTTCTAGTATTCATGAGTACTATTACCATTTTGGTTTCCCTTGTACGCTATGATTTAATCTTGAATACACATCTTTAATATTAGTGCTAAGCTGCTTCACTACTTGAGATGTCTTCATGCTGATATCCTATAATAAAATCTTGTGCAATTAAGACATATTTCAACATGAAATGGATTCCAGCTGGAAGACAGGAGAGGAGAGATGCTACCCTGATCAGTGATGGTCAGGCTCTGCTATGCTGAAATGCTGTTCCCTACATATACGCAAACCTGTACCATTTGTGCACCTCCCAAACACCCTCACGTGCTGCCTCTTGCAGCTGCCACCCCAGTAGCCACCATCAGCCCAGACTCCAGTTAAGCTTCTTCCACACTGCCAGCCACTGCCAGGACAAGTGGGAAAACAAAGCCCCATCAATTAGATGGGACTTCTTTGAGCTTCCAACAAACCTTAATGCCTCATGGGACCCTTAAAGGACCCCTTTCCTCCATGATGTCTCTTCTCCCTTCCAACAGCCACACAGAGCCTGGACAGCCAGGGTACACTCTAACCATCAAAACCTTGAGTAGAGAAATTTGGTATATCTGCTTCTGCATTATGGACTGTCTTTAAAATCTTGATCATTTGTTTCTTGGTCATTTGTTTTGAGCTGTGACAAGCAACAGATATCTCTGATCAGTTTTGCCCTGGGTGCATCTGAAAGGTTAAATGGCACAGTAATTTTGGAAGAAGTGACTGGATCAGATCTCCAGTTCAACTTCATGTTTATGTCCAAGCTTTGCACTGATGGATACAACTGCCTACAATAATTTATGAACAAGGAGAACATAAAAAAAAAATATCAGAGATGAATTATCAGTATTTGTTTTGCATTTCTTGGTTTTGGGTTTTTTTGTTGCTAAGATAAAACTAATCAAAGTCCTTTGTTTGAAAAATATTTGATAAAGAATCTCCAATATACCTCTTTGTTGTTTACTCCCTTCACCTTGTAACTGCAGGTAGTTTGAGCTTTACAAACATATATCAAACATATTGTTACTGGACAGCATTAAAGTTTCAATTAGTAAGAGCAAACATAGTCAAGCAGATGATCACATACTTTTTCTTTTTTTTTAACATTTTTTCCTCTTTTTGTTCGCTGATATTCTTAGGGAAAACTTATTACTTACCCAACGTTTTCTGCATCTTCATCACACTCAGCCCTATATTTGCAAACTCCACATTTTGAGTGTTTTCTCTGAACTTCTGTCCCAGATCCTTCATACTCTAAAAAAAAAAAAAAAAAGTATTGTTAATAGAGAGCATGACTTTCTTATTAAACTCTGATTTTGCTTACCTAAATCCATTTGCCTTCAGGTATATTGTCAACATGAAGTTATCATATATCTAAACTATTAACCTTTTTCAAAATCAGGCAAGTGGAGGTCGGTAGAACTGTACCAGTGACAAGAAAGCACCCCTGAAAATAGTAATGCTTCATTGATTAACTCTTGCTTTATTCTTATTTCAGTGATTTGTGTTTATTCTCACCTCACTACACACACAAATGGCATTGACATGTGTCCCAATCACATTTAATCTTAATTGGCGCTGATAATGTCTAAACCCTGTGTCCTTTAAAGTCCTTGAATATTAGGTAATGGGGGATCTGAATGCTATTTTCTTTGACAGTCTTTAATTACAGATATCTTCATGCAAGGTTACTGCTTGCATGTTTCTCCTTTCTCTTTCCGACAATGGGATTAGACTGTGTTCATATCTTGTATATGCTGCGGTATATTTTCCAGAGTACTCTAATTAGTTGAACAAGACTAAAATAAAAAAATAATCTTAACAAGAAACTGGTAGAAAGGCTATTTCTCTAAAAAAAAGTAAAAATAGAACTTCAAATATTCTGATCCTAAAAATATCTGCACCAATCTTACTGTTGACATAGACATCAAAACTCCTCACCAAGTAAAAGAGAAATATAACTATATTCTTATTGTTCTGCTACCATTACTCACTCCTATTTTTTATTTTAACAAATCCTTAAAGGAGAAATAGACATTTGAAAAACAGGAAAACAACCACAGAAATCTGCAGAGGGACTTGAGAACCATTTAACATATCACAGTATCTGACTACACAAGGCTGTCTGATGGATATAGATCAGCAGCTTTATGTGCTGTAGCAACAGCTAATCAAACACCACCAGTTAAAAATTTGTGTTTACATTCCCTAAATGTGAACAGGAAAAAGAAATCCATGAGAGTCCTTCCTAGTTTTCCTGGATCTTGGCTGAAGGGAATTTCTCCCTCTTATCTGTGGGGCTTACAATGAGAACATTGCAGGTGAACCCCTCAAATTAACTTCTGTCTAAAGCATGCTGTGGATTTTTTCAAAGATTAATACAGATCACACTTTATTACAAAATTCCCACTGTAGAAATTCTATCACCACTCTTACTAAGTTGCAGTAAAGGCTATTTGCTTTTATATTTACAAATGTACATATTATTTGATTTTTCCTTCTTTCAAGATACCACATTTCTATGCCTGTGTTTGGCATCCTAAATTGCCCTTTAGTGTCAGTTTTCACTTTTCTGTGTCAAGAAACGACCCCCTAAGGTTCGAATAAGTTAAACAAATGGCACTGCTCCTGGCTTTCATTCATGGTGTTTCCACTTCTTTTGCTGTTCTTATGACCCTTGATGCCCTTCCCCAGCACGTTAACACCCTCCAGTGTTACGGGTGCAAGAGCTGGAAACACTGCTCCAGAAGAGCTGTCATCAGAGCCAGACCACTGCCTATCATATTCTTCAGTTAAAATATCCAACAAGCATAATAATTTTTGACCATTTTTCTGCACTGACCGTTATCATTCACACTTAGTTTATTATCCACCTTATGTCCCAATTAGTCCCTGTCAGGGTCATCAGTCTGTAGGAAAGAGACTGACATCCAGGAAAAATCACCTAGACCCTGGACTCGCAACATAAAACTCTGTCCTTGAACATTAAAATACTGCCTGCTGTTGCATCCTGGTAGCTCAATGACCCATCCTATGTCATCCAGGCCTGATCGGTACTGATGGATTTGCTCCCAGGTCACCAGTGGAAGGGGTCACGATGCCAAGACAACCCAAGAACATTTTGTAATGATTCCTTGACATTTAATGATCTATTGATTAGCAATACTTTTGCACATTAGATGTACACTGTGTGGATGTTGTACTCTCTAGTTACTTAGACTTGTATGAGAGATTGCCTTTGGCTGAAAAAAATCATGGTTTTGAGGTGGTATGCTTACATAAAATGTTCTGTTGTACAAAGGCCTTTCTTGGAAAAATAAATTAAAAAGAAAGTAAATTTCTCAATAAAGGTTTTCCATGAACCCATGGTGAATGGCATTAAGTATTTTTCCCCTCCCTTAATTCTGTACTCAGTTTATTTTTCCACCTTCTATTCCACTGCTCGGCTTCTGATGGATGCCAGGATGAGAGGCTGTAGCCCACCTGATCACCACATTTATCTTTTCTGAAAATATATGTAAGTTATTTCTCACTGTTCTACTGAAGAAAAAGAGAACAAAAAAAAGTCACTCTCGGCCCAGAGAATTCTTTACCACCCATTTTTAAAGCTTTCAGGTGAAAACCAGCCAGACCTGCTGGTTACAAAACACCTGTGGTGCGTAATATCTTAATGCAGTACTGCTAACATGGAAAATATTTTACCATATCTTATATATGCTATCTGACTTGACTACAAATACAACCAGAATGCTTTACAGAGCAGTTTTGCCGCACTATTAGCATTTCAGTTTTGTAGTGGAGCTAAAGAAGTAACACATGCACGCACGCACACGCACACCCTTCCTCATCAGCTTTATTTCTGCACCCTCTGAATGCTTCAACACCTTTTCAATTTCATAAGTGGTAGTTCACAACTACTTGTTCTTTGTTTCTATATGCTATTCAGTGTAAACTCCTCACTCTCTCCTTTCCTTCCACCCCCCCTAAAATTGTTTTCTCTACTTTTTCAAATTAGATTTGTTTTAGAAAAAGGGTGGCCTTTTCTTCTTGATCAGAACTTGCTGGACCCCATATATATATATAATTATTTATCTGTGATTTATTTTGCTTGCACATAATAAATATGTGCAAGTCAAGAACACCTGCAACTCAGGTTCTAATGATTTACACCTGTCAGAATGACATGTAATACAGATGAACGTGTACTGATGCAACATTTCCAAGTTAGGGGATAGTCATCTATAATTTTTGTAAGCTTCTTTCATTACTAGCAGCATGATGTTTTAGTACTAGCAGCATGAGACACTGCATATAATTTAGACTGAAGTCCTTGAAGAAAATGAAGCTTTTACCACCAATACAGAATAGATAAATACTACTTTTCAGCCTGAATTGGTAGCAGACATTTTCAGTATCCCATTTGTGTGCTGTTATAATAAGTTAATCCATTAATATTTAAGAATATAATCTTCTGTGGTGCGTCTCCAAATAGGCAATCCACCCCTTGACAAAATGTTCCTCCCTTCTCCTTTCTCCCCCACATTTGATTGTTCCAAAACAGGTTATAGCCATTAATTTTAAAATTCCAATCAATCAGATCTTCCTAGCATGTTTCAGTAATATTAATTAGGTCAAAATATGCTCCTAAATGAGCAATTCAACTACTCTTGTTTATTATGCAAGTTTCTAATGTTGATGCATAGATGATTACAGAATTTCTTCTCACTTTCATTGGTATCTGATTAATTCTGTTCTTTGACATCTTAATTTCATATTAAGTGAAACCTCTCTTTTCAGCTCCCTTTTGTGTTTCAGGGCAGCACTTCATTAGTGCTCCGTCCTTCAAAAGAAATGAGGCACAAGAATGGGATCTGTGACTCCCAGTTGTCTCTCGGAGCTGCCATGCTTCCTAACGCTTCTCGAGTCATTATTTCTCTGCAGAAGATGGCCAGCTATATCTTAGGAGCTGTAGGGCAGGAGCCTGCAAATGGACAGTCACTCCAGCGGAATTGGCCAGCAGTAAATTGCTTCCCTCAGCAACTCATTTGTGTGTTCCTGCAATGGTAATGTAGCTGGGTTTCTGCTGAGGGCACTCAATCACATCTGAAGCAAAAGCATCAGTCTGTGTCAAGGTGAAGTTTGGTCTGCCTCAAGGCATGGCCTGGAAAGAGAGCTCTGCTGTATGTGTATATTTTTATATATATATATATTTATCACTGTTAACAGTGAAGCAGGGGAGCTTGTGGAGTGCTGCAACTACTCAGTAGCCATGTATGGCTGGAATAAAGCTTTCCTCACCTGGGAAAGCCCTTCTAAAAACCAATTTCTATCTGTTTTGGGAGTATAGTGATTTTTACTGATGTGCTATGCTATGGGAGCAACTAATCTCAAAAAGATTTTGGAAAAATAGGAAGGGCCACAGCAAATCCTCTTCTGCACCCTTAATTATAAAAGAAACCCCTCATGATTAGACTGTGACTCCCTCAGTACAGCTAGCACTGGAAATTCCTCTCAGAATAACACAGTCCACAGCATCACACATTATGGGGGTGCAGTTCACTGAGCAGGTTCACAGTGAAGACACCAGCCTCTGAAGTTTGATTTTGCAAGAATGGTCATTAAAGTTTAACACAAGGATGCCTGCTCTATTTAAGACTGAAGTGCCTGGAGGAGGGGAGTTTGAAGTTTGATTCCCTAATCACAACCCAGCCAAGGTTATATGTTTGCCCAGTGCTTACGATCACGATAGCATGCGCACTTTTAAGCAAAAGACTTGAGAACATGCACTGTAAGACTCCCTACTGCCACTACCGTTGTTATGCGTTAGGTATTTTACACATCTGACAACTATAAATTCTATTTTGCTTCTATGTGTATGAAACCATGCATAACGGTGGGAAAAGCTGGCATACTGAGAGAGCTGGATCGGCTTCCACACTGCAGGAGCTTCTGGCTGGAGAACTCCAACACCCATTCACTCCACTGTCTTGCTTCAAATGCAGCTCACTCCTCTTTCTCCAGAGGAAGACACAACAACTTCAGAGTAACCACCAGGGACATTATGCATGTGTAGAGGATGATGAAAACCAGGAAGGGCAAGAAAGTCACCAGATGCAAAGAGAGGTGTCCCAAAAATTCATGAACATGCCCAATGCGATTCTGCAAGCCCTATTCAGGCTGCATGAGATGACCCTGCCCTCATTCTCTATCTCTCATCCTGCACAAGACTCAAGAAAAATCTGTTCTGCCTTGCC